TGGAATAGTTACAATGCAATTAAATTTAATGTCGCACTTGTGTTTCCCCTAAATACATGATAATATGAGAAACCAACATCTTGCTTAACACGTGACCTCCCCAAGTAAAAGTATCAGTTAGAAAGTGTTTGGCTGAACATTACACAAACCTAAGGTACACATGGGTAATATGTGAGCTTACCATATTTCTACATCCCTGAAAAACACTAGGAAATTGGCATTGCACAAACTGACCTTGCTGATCTGTCGATAATTTACAAGAATTCTCTCAAAACTGTTGTTTCTGTCAGTGAGGTTTTTATTAAGCCGCTTTTAGCAATATTCCAGCAATATCACAGCGGGGGACACCAGAAATGGGCTTCACACATAAATAACCATGTAGGGAATCGAACCCAGGTCTTCGGCATGACAAGCTAACATTTTAGCCACTAGGCTACCCCATCCATGTTGTTTCAGATGTGTTGATGCACATCTCCAGCACACAACTGTGAGTGTTTGTTTGTTTCTTGTTTAAGCCGCACTCAGCAAAAATCCAGCTATATGTGTCTGAAAATAATCGAGACTGGGCCAGAGAATCAAGTGATCAACAGCATGAGCATTGATCTATGCACTTGGGACCAATGACATGTGTCAACCATGTCAGCGAGCCGGACTACCAGATCCCATTAGTAGCCTCTTACGAGCATGGGTTGCTGAAGACCTAATTCTAACCCTGGTCACAGGTCACAGGTCACAATTGTGAGTTTGTGGGTACAGTATGATGTCAGTTTTAGCAATGTTCTAGCAATATCACAGCAGGGAACACCAGTAACTATAATCAGACCTGACATACTACATTGTGTGATACAAGAGATAAACTGGAAAGTATGCATGTGCTGAGTATGCATTATGTTATTGTAATGCCTGTTTTCCTAAGATAGGATTTCATCCATAAACATACAAAATATTATTTTTAATGTCTGCAAAATATTTGTATGGAAATTCACTGTTGAGATATAATGTCGAAAAACTTTTGTCTTTACCAAAAAGACTCTGAGTCTTGAGATGACATAAGTGGCAGAAATCATCACTATCATGCATAAATAGTGTTGGGAATCGGAAACCAAATCCACTATCGATCATTGGAGGACTTGTGGTGACCGATTATCAATAATAATCGAAATATATACATTTTAATGTAATCACCAATTTTGTGTTTTTCCTCAGGTTTTTTCTAATTAATGTTTTTATAACTAATAATGTCATGCAATGAAATGCACGCATGCAAGAAAGACACTGGAATTGTAATTAAACAATAAATGTGGTTAAAATTTTAAAATACACATAGCTTTACGCTGTTGAGCGCATGTTTGTTTGTGAATATTCATCAAATTTAAAGGTTAGTTTACTTCAAGTGTGTTATACAAAAACAACACAATTCCAATTAATCGGAAATGGTTTTTTTACAATCGATAATCATTTTTAATCCTTCTTTCGGTCGATTTTCTATTTTATTTTCGATCATTGGAACACCACTATGCTTAACCTAACTGGCTTTGTTTCGGACTGGTATCAAAAAGAAAATCTCAAGAGTAATGTTTAATTTATTTCTTAACAACAGTGTAATAGACCATGTATGGTTTGTTGTTTACTCTACTGGACAATTTACCTGTCTGGGGTCTCTTCAAGTTATCCATAGTTTGAGACATGCAGAGTTTTAACATGGGACCAAAATCAATTGCTGGGGTGTGTGTGTGTGTGTGTGTGTGTGTGTGAGAGAGTGAGTGAGTGAGTGAGTTTAGTTTTATGCTGCTTTTAGCAATATCACAGCGGGGCACACCAGAAATGGGCTTCACACATTGTACCTATGGGAGGAATCGAACCCGGGCCTTCGGCGTGACGAGCGAGCGAACGCTTTAGCCACTTGGCTACCCCATCCCTCGTTTGTTGGGAACCATGAGGAAACTCTTTCTATAGTTTGAACGAGTGTGTGACTTTGGTATAATGCTGCTTTCAACAGTTTCAGTCATATGACAACATGTCAGCTTTGGTGAAGCTGGAAAGTCAGACTGAATGGTGAACACCAGTATGGTGAAGACCAGTGTGTATCTTGTCAACACAAGGTTATCAAGTTTGTGTTGAAACATTTTCTGCAAAACAAGTGTCCAAAGGAAACTACTAAAAATGTGTCTCTAATCTGTCTTTTGAAAGCCTCCAATGGTCAATTTTCACTCGTAATGTTGGTTCATGTGGTTGTATAGTGTATTGTCTTTCCGAGCCAACAGAGAACATTGATGCATGGGAGGCGTCAATTCCTAACAGATGAGTGTTGACATTATGAAGGAATTCCACTGATATTTGTATGTATGTCAATCATTTTGTGTCATAAAGACTTCAAATGTGACCAAATTCACACTGAGAATGTGTATCCTTTGGTCAAGAGAAAAGTTTTTGCTTCAGATTCATTACCGAATTGTCATCAAATGTTAGAAGAGAGATTAAGACCACTTCCAACTGTACTTTAGCTATACTATGGTTTGGTAGCCTAATGGATTAAAAATCTTCAGTCTTGTAAGTTCCAGACTTATCATTTAAGGCCACTTTCAAATGTATTTCAGCTATATAGAGAATCTCACCCAAGTGTCTACTGATATCAAATACATCACCAGATTTGTGAAGTTACAAATATCCGAGGCTTGCTGAGGATAGTTTTACTGTTATCAATGAGTGTTGATATAATTGGTATCAGTAGACACGAGGTTGAGATTCTATTTATCACCAAAAATCACTCTTCATTGGTTTTCAATGAAATATGTACATCTCTGAACACGGTACTGCCATTAGACTTGCAGTGCAGCAATGTCAGAGCATTGTGACGTCATCAGGTTTTTGACATCATAGCATTGTCAAAAGCATTGATGATGTCAGGGCATTGTAAAAAAATCTACTGTCAAAATGATATCTCCAAGGTGCTATCGTTTGATCTCACACAAGCAATATCTGCAGTGGAACACAGTTTTGGGTGATAAAATATGGTTTTGCGGCCTAATGGAATAAAAAATCGTCAGTCTTGTGGGTCCCTGACTTTTATCGTTTAAGACCACTTTCAAATGTATTTCAGCTACACTACGATTTAGCAGCCTAATGGATTAAAACTCTTCAGTTTTGTGGGTCCCTGACTTTCATCGTTTAAGACCACTTTCAAATGTATTTCAGCTACACTACGATTTAGCAGCCTAATGGATTAAAACTCTTCAGTTTTGTGGGTCCCTGACTTTCATCGTTTAAGACCACTTTCAAATGTATTTCCGCTACACTATGGTTTAGCAGCCTAATGGATTAAAACTCTTCAGTTTTGTAGGTGCCTGACTTTTATCACTTTGATAAAACTCGTAAAAAAAGGGTTGAAATTACATGATAAAAAATTATTCTAGGGTAATGACATGACCCAGATCCTGACACAGCTAAGAGACACAATTCTGCACAGTTAGTTAGAACACTATGACCTCAATTTCAGATTGTCCCCTTTTCAAATTAGAAATATAACTGAAGCTTTTCATAACTACAACAGATATGCTGATTTCATCTCACTGATGTCTGTGCTGATGAAAATAATATTCCATACACTGCACATAGACTCAGTACTCTCCTGTTATATGCTTTGAGTTATTCATATTTTCACCATGGCGTAACAACTACTGTAAAAATAAATAACATGTTTAAATTCTTTATTGACAACCCTGTTACCTAAAACATAAGCATATTAAACTTTTCTCAGATTTGGTATTAAAACACCCACAAAATACCCTTAAATCACTTTGCACTCTATTAACCATAAATCCATTCAAAAACAAAGGTAATGGTAGGGCCAAGATACGTATACTGTTTTCAGAAATGAAATATAACCATTTTCTCACTTACCTAAATCATCTACATTTATATATTACTCAACATTTGACAGGGATAAAGAGATATTGCATGCTGTGTTGTAACTAAAGTACTGTCGGAAATAGAAAAAAACTTTTTTCACATTTATATCTACAATTTAGGTAGTTAATATGTGAAAGTGTGAAATATCTGTTAAACTAAGTTCGGCCTAACTACAGTCTCAGTGGGAGGGAGATAGGAAATGTAAAAGAAGGATTTTACTGAGGAGATATTAGTGCAGAAATGAGCAATGCGGTTGATAGATAATCAATAGAGACATATTCAATACACATGAAAAAGCATAAAATATCTTTGAGATGACCCCTTGTGTCGGTGGGCAGCACATGCATTTCATGTCAAGTGAGTCGACGGTCTGTCGTCATACCTGGCTGAGCGCCCTAATTGCCATCTATAGTCTGATCTATTGTTTTCAGCAGCTATTCGTATTTTTTCTAAGTTTTGCCCGATTTTATGAGTAAACATGCTTTTCTGGATATCCTATTACGCATCCCACTGAACGCCCAGTTAGGCCGATATGGGTTATTTCGACATATGCTATTTGCAATTGTGTCAATTTTAGGGACACAGAGTAACAGCCTAAAAACAGTTTTTTCTATTTCCGACAGTACTTTAGAACAGATCAATGACAAAACTTTATGAATAATCAACTTCTTTATTTTCACAGAAGCAGCGTTTCGGTATAGTTTCTCATACATTTTTCAAGCATATAAGAAAGTTAACCGAAGCGTCGCTACTGTGAAAATATAGAAGTTGATCATCCATAAAGTTTTTCTCATCTCTATACCAGCAACTTCTAGAATGCCATTCAAACAAATCATAGAAGAGATCAATGTACTTAATTGTGAAATTGATACTAGTATACTAAAATAAGCTTTTCGCAGCAGTTGCAGTTTAATTGGTTATCTGTACGGAGGCATCTCTCTGCAATAACATTCAACTCAAACATAGATATTACAAATATCCCTATCAATAGTTGAGAAATATAGTAGAAAGTCTGAATTAATCAATTTCCTTAATAGTATGAGAGAAGTTTCATATTTAACAGTGCATCTAGCCTTGGTAACTGTACTTACATATTGGTACCTACCAGAACTTCAGTTACGAGTTGGCCGGCTGGATGATGACGTTGTTTCGACGACACATGGTTCCATTCAGGTCAGCCATTGCCTTAGATGCTTCATCCTTGGTAGGAAATCCAACAACAGCATTGCCTGTTGGGTTTCCATCCCCTGTATAGTGAAGGCGGATTGACTCAGGTACAGGATTGTATTGGTGGAAAAATCCCAACAGTTCACGAATTGTCACTTGAAGAGGGAGATTAGAACATCTTAAGTATACCCACTGTCTCTTCAGCACGCCTGGCGGTATAGGTTTGACATTTACTGGAGAATTCAAAGCAAGCCCTCCTGGCCCTCCCGGACCGCCCGGACCCCCAGGCGGTCGGCTGGTGTTGAGAGTTCTTGCATTCCTTAGTCTGGTGATCATTTCGGACTTCAATATGGGTTTAATTGTTATGACATTTGGTCCTATCGTTTGCTGATCCCGTTTCAAAGATTCTTTACAGTCTTTTATATTTGTAAATTCAACAAATCCTTCTCCAATTGCATTCCCTAACCCATCATGACAAATCTGCACACCACGTGGAGCAACATCCAAGCCACTGACAAGTTCACGAATTTCTCTGTATGTTGCTTGTGGAGGCAGGCCCAGCATATGAATACAAACAAAGGGGTAATCCCCCTCACCTTGTCCCTTTTCACCATCTGACTGATTGGGAGAAAGGTGAGACTTGACATCACAGTTTGTTTCAGATGACTTAAGTTTTTCTTTTTCTTCTTTCGTTCCCATCATGACACGAAGAATTCTAGAGCCCATGTGATGACCTTCAAATCCCATGGCTATTTTGTAGTTTTCTGCATTTGGAAGTTCAACACAAGCTGTTCCAGTGAACATACCTTTCATGTCATAATCCATGAACACTGATGAGCTGTTCTCAGTTATTCCTGCACCACCAAATAACTTCTTGACATCATCAACAGAAACATTTAATGGGAGATTAGAAATCTTGACAATAAAGGGTTCACCAGCAGCAGGCATAACAACTGAACCAGTCTTGGTTGCATCCTCAGGTCGATCAGACCTCGATCGTTCAGACCTTGGTCGTTTTGATGGTTCTGGTTCATCCTCGTCTTCATCTGGTACATATGAATCAATAGCCTTATCAAAGTCTGCAGTAGAACATCGGTGCACAATTATTGTTCTCCCATTCATGTCCATCCCATTCCGCTTCATGGCACTAAAACTTGATTCTTCATTCACAAATCTGATATAAGCAGTCCCATTTCTCTTACCCTGCTCATTGTTGATTAGCTTAAGACCATCAAAAGGAATTTCACAACCCACAAAGAAACGTCGCACACTACTGTAAGAAACAGTGTATGGCAAATTCTTGACATGTACATAGATGTTGCCAGTTTCAACCTGTCTTGGTCTCTTCCTGTTCTGATCGTCCATTGGAGGTCTTTCCCTTGGTGGAAAAGGTCCCCTCGCATCATATCCTTCCTTTGGATCATGCATGTCTCGCTCCATTGGCCTGCCAGGTGGGCCTCTTGATGGACCATCATCTGGCCATCTTCCATCATGACCTCCATCAGGAACCCAATCAGGTCGACGTCTTTCATGGTCGGACATGAATGGACGAAGGGGACCTCTCTCCTGTGAATCTCTGTTCATTCTTGGGGCCATATCCCTACCTCTGAACTTGGGTCGCCCCTCAAAGTCTTCATTATTTCTAAAGTCTTGGGGCTCACCATGTCTCCCAAACTGTTCTCGGAACTGACCAGGACCTGACCTATCAGGCATGAAGGGTCTCTGGTTCATATCTCTACCTCTACCATCATGCTCCATCCCCATATCAGGTCTATCCATTGGCACTCTTGGAGTAAACATAGCAGGAGCATCTCCAAGAAGTCCTTTCTGTCCACCATTTAGAGGTCTTTTTTCAGGAAAATCTTGATGAAGTACAGATCTGATTGGACCACCTGGACCATTGTTTGGAGGGAATCTGCCTTCCATTTCCCAAGGAGCATTCATTTTGTCTTCATCGGGTTGGTATTTGGGGTATTCAATTGGTCCTCTTTGATAACCTTCATCATGGAAGTTTGGTGGTCTCATTCCTGGTGGTCCTTCTTCGATTGGTCTGCCTCTCCCTTGTGGTGGCATTGACTGTGGTGGTCTTTGTGGAAATCCAGGATCATTAGGTGGGCCACCACGGAAAGCAGGATCCGGTGCCCTGTTATCCCTGTCAAAACCATTTCCTTGATCTCGGAACATTGATGGATGACCTCCCCCTCTTGGACCATCAGGTCCACGGTGATCAGGTCTAAAATCTGGATCTGATCTTTCATCGAACCTTGTGGGTGCAGATCTTTCTTCATTTCCGAACCTGGAAGGTTTTGACATATCTGTGTCAAATCTCTCTCTTGGTCTGTCAATTCCTCTGTCTCGTGGAGGGAACTGTCTTGGTTCGTTTGGAGGAAATGAATCAGGTGGCTGAGTAAATGGCAGAGCACTCCCTTCAAAATGCCCTTCCGGTTTCACAAACTGGTCTTGAACAGGCCTTCCAGATGGACCTCTAACATCATCAGCTGGCCTTGCAGATGCTCTTGACATTGGGGAATTTCTTTGATCAAAACCTGATTTTTCAGATCTTTCTCTTGGTTCTCTTGACTCACGTCTTGATTCTGAATGATCTCTTCTTTCACGGTCTTGTCTCCTATCAGATCGATCAGATCTGTCTGACCTATCAGAGCGTTCTGATCGATCTGAACGATCATTTCTATCAGACCTGTCTGACCTACTTCTATCTCTGTCTGAACGGTCTCGATCAGATCTGTCCCTGTCAGACCTGTCTCTTCTGTCACGTCCATCTCTTCCCTCTCGGCTTTCCCTATCTCTGCCTTCTCTACTACTTCGTCCATCACGATCATCCTTTCCATCCCTTCCTTCCCTTCCCTCTCTCCCTTCCTGCCCCCGTCGGAAGTCCCGCTGATCAGGTCTGCGGAAATCTGGCTTTCTGTCCACTGAATTTGTTGGTTCATTCACAGTAAAAGGGGAATCATGGTTGCCCCTGACAGGTGCTTGGTCTAAAACAGGTGGTCTATTAAATGGGGCTCCAAATGGCTGCTCATTAAGTTGGTTTTGCATGAAAGGCTCTTGATATCTGTCACTGGGCATACCTTGGTTTCTTGCTCCAAATGGCGGTGTGTCCCTCTGAAATGCATCCCTCTGTGGAGGATCTCTTGGTGGGTCCCTACCATATGGAGCTCTATTGTCAAGTCTTTGGTAACCACTATCAGGGAATCTACCTGGTCCCCCCTGACCCCAGGCATCTTGAGGAGGGCGATTTTGATAGTCATCTTTATAACCTTGATCGTTACCAATCACTCCATGTTGAGCATCTGGGCCACCATACTTAGGATACTCATCTCGCATACCACCCCGGTTGTCTTGAGTAGACAGTCCTCGCGTGTATGGATCATCATACTGTCTTGCTGGCTCAACTGGGAGGGGTTTAATGGATGGTTCTACAGGCTGATCAACAGACTGCCCTGTTCTTGCTGCCTCTATGACGTTTTGCATCTCTGTCTTACTACTCAGCAAGAGTTGTACAGGAGATCCATTCAGACTTTGAAAGGTCTTCATCATGGCTTGTCTTGCATCTTCATCAGTGCTGAATGCAATGAAGGCATCTCCCTTCTCACCCCCAATAATATGAACCCCTCCTGGCGGTATCTGTAAGCCTTGGAAGAAGTTGCGAATATCTAATGCACTGGCTGACCAGGGCAGGCCTTGAAGTCGAATGATCACAGACATCTTCTCAATCTGAAAATGAATGAATGAATTAAACATTCTTCACATGTACACTTCCAAAAGAACATTTATAAATTTATGAAAGTAGGATATTCTTATGTTGATAATCCACTATTTTTCTATTTCATTATTCTTGCTACTCAACTTGATGTTAAATGTTGAAGTATTTACTATTGGTTGTCTCAAGGTCATGAAAACACAGTAAAGCCTAGCTTCAACTGATAAAAGATTACTTTGTTCCTACCTAAATGTGAATGAACAAAACCATGAGATTGTCAGTCTTTCAAGAAGTCAACTCCTCTGTATCTGAAAGTAAGAAATATACTGTAAGTCAGGGTTTCCAAACATCTGAACACTTTCACTTGCACGAATATTACAAAGGGTACTACACAACCGAGTGATTGAGGTGGGATTAGTGCAGCTGTGACAGCATGCCAGTTGAGCAAGTGAGTGAGTAAGTTTAGTTAACGCCATACTCAGCAACATTCCAGCTATATTGGCGGCGGTCTGTAAATAATCGAATCTAGACCAGAAAATCCAGTGATCAACAGCTTGAGCATCGTTCTGCGTAATTGGGAACCAATGACATATGTCAACCAAGTCAGCCTGAATACCCGATCCTGAAAGTCGCCTCTTACGACAAGCATGGGTTACTGAAGATCAATATTCTAGCCCGGACCTTCACAAGTTTCATTCCAGTTGTATTACAGCATGTCATCTTACTGTGGAAGGAAATTAGACTTGCATAAGTCTCTAAGGTAAAAATTAATAGTTCAAATGATAATTTCTAAAAAATAATAATGTACTGTCCGCTTATCTAGACTTGCCTCTTCGAAGTATAGAATTACTATACATACATAGGCTCAGCATTCAGTACAGCCTTGGTGCAAGGCTAGATTGAGATGTTTAATACGACCGAGCACACCAATTCATAAAAATATCCCCCCAAAATTTTCATGGTTTCCAACCTTTTTTGTTCAGTATACATGATTACTAACACAAACTGCCAAATCGCAATAATGCCTTACTGTCCCATTATTTATTTGCTTCAAGAACTGCATGCAGGACATCAAACCCGATTCATGCAAAGTCACCACCTCGACTGCACGACAAAAGATGTGTCAAGTTTTACTTATTCACGAGGAGAGTGAATGAGTGAGTATGGTTTTATGCCAATTTCATCAATAATCCAGCAATATCAGAGCAGGGGACACCAGAAATGGGTTTCACACATTGTACCCATATGGGGAATCGAACCCGGGTGTTCGGTGTGACGAGCTAATGCTTTAACCACTAGGCTACTCCTCCACCCCTCCACAAGGAGAGTTTAAACTAGAACATCAGTGCAAAAGAATACCCATTCTCAACTATCCCCAGAAACAAATTCAAGTTTTGAAGTGAAAAATTGTTGCCATGCAAATATTTTCTGTACCAAGCTGTGCCACCAGTATCAAGTCCCACTGTTGACATGAAGGTTAAAATAAGTAAGAAGTATGTGAAAGTTAGGTTTTACAGTAGCTTAAAGGTCACATGCAAACAAAAAATCAAACATGATTAAAACACAATTATCACTTATTCATGACATATAATATACATTGCTGGTTATGAAAAAACATATAAACATATAAATTATAAGCGTACAATCGCAAATCAAAAGTGCAATATTGTGTACTTGGGTTTACTTCCAAAGAAACGGAGCAGCCGGGATACCGAACCCAGTCAGAGCTGGTGGGTGTGCACTCAAGTGTAACGGCTGGTTCATTTGCAGATGCCCTCACGGCTCATTGTGTGTGTGTATATATAGAGATGTTGGGTTTTGTTAATACATGCTCATTTTTTGTGTATAACATTTTGCAATCAACAGACATCATAACATGTCATGTGTTCAAGTATCACACCTGCCTGTCTGTGTAATTACATAATGTGACAGAGACCGAACTCGGGCCATAAATCAATGCGTTTTGTTTATGGTGTATAGCCTGATTGGCGTTAAGTTCAAATTGCATGTGGTCAGTGATCGCAGTTGTGCATTGAATATTGTCATTAGCAGACAGGCAGGCAGACACACAGGTGTCAATAAAACAAGACATTGAGTTTTGTCTGTGACAACGACATATCTATATCACAGTTAGAAATTCTGTCAACGCTGAATAATGACATTGCTTTTAAGTATCGAACTGAGAAAGTGACTCGGTAAGAAGAACGTGTGGTGAAATAGACAAATGAAATTATATAAACAGTTTATTTACTGTCATAACATATAAAAAGTTTGCGCCTGTGAGATATCAACAAAACATTAGGAAAATGGCTCACACCAAAGCCTTCACCGAGTATTCACCAGACAGCCCGCTTCCAAGTTGCGCGAACCTATTTCACTGCGCACGTGCTATGAGCGCAGCCCAGCTGTTGAAACCAGTTTTCCCCAGAAAAGTCGGGGGAAAATTAGTGAATCGTTTGAACTCCGATTTCGCGCGTTTTTTTCATCGCGTTATTTTTCAACTTTATAAGTTGAATTTGCATTTTTGATGATTTGTTTCGGTAAGTCCATACCGAAAGGTATCAGAATCTGCAAAGTTGTGTTTTACGTTGCATGTGACCTTTAAGAAATATCTCAGCATATCAGTTTATTCTGTGAGTAAAGGCACAATCATTTACCAATTCAATCTTTGATGAACTAGACATTCATGGAAATGCCATATTACGAAGTTCAAAAATCATGGCAAATCTTAAGTTGAGTTGCAATCCATACCAATCACCACAATAGAACAAGCCATTCAGGGTTGAATGTATGTTACAAGGGTAAAAGGTCAGCATACACAAGTGGTCCAAATCTCGTTCCAGAAAAGAATGAAATAACTTGACTTCAGGAAACTAGTCCTGATCTTTACTTTTGTCTCTGAATTAAAAACTAACAAGTAATGACAATTTTGACCTGAAGTACACATTCTGACTTAGTGCCATTCAATCTGTGAACCATGTCTAAGAATGATAGTTATTTGTATAGATTATCAACCCTTTAGCTAAAGGTACTAAAGATTCTGTGAATGTGAATCAAACTGAATGTATGCCATTCAAAAGTTAAAAATACCAAATTCTTCCAGATTACTACAGTTAATCTGTCATGGCACACCTTGACAATAACATAAGAATCTGGTGTCCTTGGACTTCTTTTGAGTTGTATACATCTATTTTTTTATCATTTTATCACTCATCAAACACAAACATAACTTTTCTATGTACCAAGTGCAATGTCAAATCTGCTTTAATATTATCAGTCATAAATATGCTTTTTGGCTGCACGTGGACATAGAATATAGCAGGTCACAAAATGGGCAAGTGTTGTTGTCCATAATACCTGGAGGAATAGAATGTTGCAGAATTTTCCACCATCTTGGGCATCCTTGCCAGGTGAAAAGGTAAAGACCTATTTATGTACCCCAAACATTTAGAAATTTGTTAAAAAGTGGTGTGTAATTGCATAAAGTTTTTAAATTATGAGTTACACATTACAAGATTTGTTTTATTTGACATCAGCATCACTTCACTTTATGTGCAAGTCAGTGGAAAAAAGTCCAAATGATTCACAGAAACAGATACAATCCACGTCTATGTATGTTTTAATCCCCCGACCACCCTAAGGATATAGAATATGTATAGTCTGCAGCATGTATAGTCTGTCATGTCAGTTGCCAAATTTCTCTATTTTCATTGAAGTTCTCCAAAATATAGATATTTTGGCATTGGTTTTAAGGAATCAAATAGGTTCATAGATGGCCATGACAGCAACTTCCATCGGAAGCTCACAATCACTCATCTACCCATAAGTTTCACAAATCTTCTAAGACACAAATCTTCACTGAAAAATACTTTGCAACCTTCCAAATGTTAAATGTTTTCATTTTTATCAAAACATTATCAGCTTTTCAATATCTTAAGTTGTGAGGTGTGTTTTATATTGCTCTGAACAGTATTTTCGATACTGTTCCAGCATGTCAGCAGTGTTAGAAATAAGCCAAAAATCCAGCCTTCAAATTGTTACCATACCAGCCCCAAATGGATTTAACCTGACCAAATATGGTGAATTTACTCAGATGTATGGAACATCTAAAAAATTTACCAGACCATCGGGCTGGCTAGCTGTAAATTTAGACCGTCCGTCACAAATCTAGCCCGTCTTGGGCGGTCGGACGGGCCTTATTTCATACACTGGTGTCAGTTTCATATTGGTGAAAGGCACAATGTTTACAGTGTTGCAGGGGAAAGATGTGGATCATCTTTGGGTATGGTGCTCACAAACCAGGGATCGCAATATGGTCCACACAGGAATTTTGGTTGTTGTTTAACACTCTACTCAGAAATATTCCAGCTATATGGCAGAGGTCTGTAAATAATCGAGTCTCAACCAGACAACACAGTGTTCAACAGCATGAGCATCGATCTACACAACTGGGATGCGATGAAGTGTCAACCAAGTTGGCAAGTCTGAACATACGATCCTGTTAGTCACCTCTTATGACAGGCAGGCATGGGTTGCTGAAGACCAATTCTAACGCATTTCTTCAAAGGTTGTTTACAATAGAAGTACAGGTTAATTGCTCATCACTGCACACAGAAGGACTATGCCACACTATGGGTAAAGCATTGTTTTCCACATCTTAACTTTTACATACATGAAGCAGACACCAGATTTCACTTGTAATGTGCTTGCATGTTACTGTTATTTTCGCTATAACTGTACTGCAACATAATATTTAGGTCTGGTTTCAAATCTGATTGATCATTCATTAGTGACTTAGTAAAATCTAACTTGTTTAAATTTAATCATTTACCAAGTGATCGTCCAAAAGTCCTGAGTATTTTCAGGAAGATGAGCAAGGCTTTGTTGACAAGGCTCTTCTCTCAAACAGCAAGATGCTCTATGCTTACACTTAATTCCAGCTCATTGGAGAATAAGCCATATGAAGAATGAGAACCAAAGTGATTGCTATAGTTACAACTTACATTAATTACATTCACCTGAAGTGAAAGTCAGTTCTTCACCAGAAATTTCATGCTGTACCATTCACATATGCCTACTTATCTATCTCTTAATTAAACTATTTAATTTGGAGTCTCATTCACACCAAGCTCCTCAATTATTTTCCAAATTCACAGTTGTATATTCATTCATCCAATGTATACCAGTTTCTACATTCTTTTGTGATAAACTCTGACCAAATTCATCACAACTGATTCATTTTGTGACATGTTTGAATGAAACAATGACATTCCATTAAGAATGAGGACTATTTTTATGGATATACGTC